AACCGAAGTACGTGCCCTTAGCGGGAACCGAACCCGGGTCTCTCCGGACCGCAGGCCGACGCTCTAACCGCTGAGCCAAACCGGCCAGGGCTCAATAGACATTTTTTAATCAATAGATTATTAACTAAATTCATCTTCTAGCTTTTCTGTAATAAGAACCCAAAGTAGGCAAACTCAGTTTAATTGACATTTTTGTATACCTCAAGGGGGTCCTGAAGGATGGGATAGAATTTCCTCGGGGGCTGGGAGGAGTTAACTGTCCTTCAGGACAGGCGGAAGCATTGTTAACAAAACTTTTTTCCTTTCATTTGAACCTCCGGACACTGACATTTCTAATCCAAATATTAATGTATACCTTTGATCAGGGTGGGGAACCCCGTACATAACGGACCTCACAGCAAACAAAAGACTCAAGTCAAAAGACCCTTTGGATGGCTAATTAACTCGGAATGTTGGCCACTCCAACTCACAGAGGGTCCGGAGGACCCCAGGATCGGCTGGTGTTCTGTAGCCTTGGGATCTCCTGGAAAAGTCAGAAAAGTTAGCAAGAATGCATTCAAGGGGGGTACGGGGCATTGACGGTTCTTGTCTCATCCTACGGAAAGCAAAACAGTTAGAGCAGCAGAGAACACGGAACACAAATAGACAGACAACCGCGGTCAAAACACAAAATACTAATTTCAGAACAGACGCACCCGAAAATGCCAGATGGAAACCCACCGGGTTTCCTGCACCCGAAAGTGCCAGATTAAAACAGATTGGTACCAATTTCAGAACAGATGGAAACCCACCGGGTTTCCCAGGTCAGGAGTCAGCGTCCCGACCCTGAGGGGGAAGTGCGGTTGAGCAGCGTCCCGCCCGCAACAATCCCAGAACGCTCCGGAGCTACCGAACAGAAAACAGATGGAAGGGGAAATCCCTTACTCAAGTCCTCGAGGCTGAAGTCTTAGTCCAAATTAGCCGAATCAAAGCCAGAATGAATGTAGGTGCGGAGGGCGAGGAGGCAGCCCTCCACGTAGTCTGAGGAGGTCGACCCCACGGAAAAGGGGGACCTCGCGGCTCATCTCGCTGGGGCCTCCAAATGTTGTAACCCAGGAGATCGACCACACTCAGACTCCATTTTTCAGTTTTGGGGGATGTTTTATTACCTGCGCAGGGACTGCAGCCAACCTACACAGAGGAGAACTGCAGCCCCGAGCTCAGGGGGAGGGTTGCTTATACAGGGCAGGGGTCATTCAAGAGTTTAGCAGAGCAAGCAAGCTGCGTGTACAGAAGCGGAGGCAGTTAGCGATAAGCAGGAGGGAACGGAGGTGGGAGGGAGCTGAGGCGAAAGGGAACTGGGTGAACTGGGTCAGCATACATCTATTCTGCTATTTATTTCATTATCCAAGTTTTAAAAACTAACAAATTCGAGACGGATTATCAGCGGTCAGTCAGGTGCAATGCACACATGTTGAACAGTTACAGTTTTATGGGGTAAAGGGAGCTTCAGTTTCTCCCTATCAGTTTCTTTACAGAGCATGCAGGACACTCTGGCCTTGGGGCCGTTTTTGTCCTCCCTTTTCTTGAAGGATGTTGCTTTTCAAATTTCCAGTGAAGGTCAAACCTTGGTTAATTTTTATGGGGCGAAAGCCCTCTATAGCATTCCCCATTGTTCATCTTGCTGTCTCTGAGGTTGTTAATTAGGGCAGCTTAAAGACAAGTTGGATTCTAAGGACAGTGAGCTACAACACACCCATTCTCCACCAACTATTTCAAAAAATTCAAGAAAAAGGAAGACTTCCAAACACGTTCTATGATGCCAGCATAATTCTAATTCCAAAACCAGAAAAAGAGACTACAAAGAAAGAAAACTACAGGCCAATATCCCTGATTAACATAGATGCCAAAATCCTGAATAAAATACTAGCAAATCGGATCCAGCAATACATCAAAAAAATTATTCACCATTACCAAGTGGGATTCATTCCAGGGATGCAAGGCTGGTACAATATTCGCAAATCAATAAATGTGATACACCACATAAACAAAATGAAGAATAAAAACCACATGATCATATCAATATATGCTGAAAAAGCATTCGACAAAATCCAGCATCCATTTCTGATAAAAACGCTCAGCAATGTGGGAATAGAGGGATGCTATCTCAACATAATAAAGGCCAAATATGAAAGACCTACAGCTAACATCATACTCAATGGGCAGAAACTAAAAACATTTCCATTAAGAACAGGAACAAGACAGGGATGTCGACTTTCGCCACTCTTATTTAACATAGTACTGAAAGTCTTAGCCACAGCAATCAGACATGAGGAAAAAATAAAAGGGATCCAAATTGGAAAGGAGGAAGTGAAACTGTCATTATTTGCAGATGACATGATATACATAGAAAACCCTAAAGACTCCATCAAAAATCTACTAGACTTAATAAATGAATTTGGCAAAGTAGCAGGATACAAAATTAACGTCAAGAAATTGACGGCATTCTTATACACCAATGATGAACTCACAGAAAGAGAAACTGAAAAAACAACCCCATTTACTATCACAGCAAAAAAATTAAGATACCTAGGAATAAACTTAACCAAAGAAGTAAAGCACCTATTTACAGAAAACTACAGGCCATTGAAAAAAGAAATAGAGGAAGACATAAAAAAGTGGAAGCACATACCTTGTTCATGGATTGGAGGAATTAACATCATTAAAATGTCCATACTACCCAAAGCAATCTATAGATTCAATGCAATCCCCATCAAAATACCAACGACATATTTCACAGAATTAGAACAAATACTTCAAAAGTTCATATGGAACCAAAAAAGTCCCCGAATAGCCACAGCAATTTTGAAAAAGAAGGACAGAGTAGGTGGGATCACAATACCAGATATCAGAAATGGACCCAAGGCAATATGCTCAATTAATATTTGACAAAGGTGGCAAGAGCATACAGTGGAGTAAAGACAGCCTCTTTAATAAATGGTGTTGGGAAAATTGGACAGCTACATGCAAAAAAATGAAACTAGACCATCAACTTACACCATACACAAAAATAAACTCAAAATGGATAAAAGACTTAAATGTGACCCGTGAATCCATAAAAATTCTAGAAAAAAATGTAGGCAACAAAATTTCAGACATCATACGGAGCAGAATTTTCACTGATACATCACCTAAGGCAACAGAAACAAAGGAAAAAATAAACACACTGGATTACATCAAACTAAAAAGCTTCTGCACAGCAAAAGAAACAATCATCAAAATGGAAAGGCAACCCACTGTATGGGAGAGCATCATTGCCAATGATATATCAGATAGGGGGTTAATTTCCAATATATATAGAGTACTCATACAACTCAACAAAAGGAAGACAAAGAACCAATTAAAAAATGGGCAGAGGAGCTGAACAGACACCTCTCCAAACAGGACATACAAATGGCCAAGAGACATATGAAGAAATGCTCAACATCACTAATCATCAGAGAGATGCAAATTAAAACAACTATGAGGTATCACCTCACACCTGTCAGAATGGCCGCCATCAACAAATCATCAAACAACAAGCGTTGGCGAGGGTGTGGAGAAAAGGGGACTCTAATACACTGCTGGTGGGAATGCAGACTGGTGCAGCCACTATGGAAAACAATATGGTGTTACCTCAAAAAATTAAAAATCGAACTTCCATTCGACCCAGTGATCCCGCTTCTAGGAATATACCCTAAGAAGCCTGAAACACCAATCAGGAAGAATATATGTACCCCCATGTTCATAGCAGCACTATTTACAATAGCTAAGATCTGGAAACAGCCCAAGTGTCCATCAGTAGACGAATGGATAAAAAAGCAGTGGTACATATACGCAATGGAGTACTATGTAGCTGTAAGAAAGAAAGATCTCTTATCCTTTGAGACGACATGGAGGGACCTGGAAAGTATTATCCTAAGTGAAATAAGCCAAGCAGAAAAAGACAAATACCACATGATCTCACTTATATACGGAATATAATGAACATAACAGTCTGAGGAATACTTTAGACCCAGAAACATGGAAGTAGGGCACAGACTGACATCCCTCAGAAGAGGGGGTTGGGGGGATGGGAAGAGATAAACCACAGAACTTATATGCATGTATGCATGACCAATGGACATGGACAACAAAGATGGAGCGGGGGTGGGGTGGGGAGGGGGGTGCCAATGGGGTAAAAAAGGAGAATCATCTGTAACAAAAAAATAAAAATAAATAAATAAATAAAAAGAAAGTGGATGATTTATACATGGAGTTCTTCATATTCTTCTTTCTTGTAATGTTCATTAAACTACATACTCTTGTATATGTTCACTATAACACTCTCTTTTGTACATGTTTGACATTTTCCATATGAAAATTAAGATGCTTGGGTGCAATTAGATGCCCCTGGAAGGGCCTATGCAGGGGAGTGTTATCTCCTCCCCTCCCCTCTACCAGCAGGCCCTCTGCCCCCACAGAGTGCCCCTGTGGCACCTGCTGGTCCCTGCAGCCTCGACTATGCCAGCTCACTGGGCCTGCTCCTCCTCGGTCTCGCTGTTAGGTCCCAAGCCTCCAGTGGGCCTCCAGGCCAGTGGCTGAACTCTGGGTTAGACAGAAGACTCCCCAAAGACTTCATCCCCAAGATCAGGCCACATTCAACCCCAGGGGAAGGCAGGAGGGGAGTTTATGAGACAACATTGTGAATCACTATATCTAATGATTTCCCAGCAGAGCTGCGGTTGGACACTGGACTCTTAGGAACGTGGCTGGAAAAACACAGACTGAAGCTTGGGACTGATTCAGAGACACACAGAGCAGGGCCAACTCTGCTGCGTCATCCTGTGCCACCTGAGGAAGTCATGGAACCCTTCTGATCCCAGTTCTCCCATTCAAATGGGGCTAACACCTAACCTGTTTAACTCCTGTAATAGTGGGAGGTAAATAATAGACATGGAAGTGCTTTGTTAAATGCTGTGCAAATAAAGCAGCTGATCACCATGATGGGAGACGGTGAAAGGTGGGTGGCGGCCTGGGCCTTGGATGGCCTTCTGGTGAATTCCATAGCTCCTTTCATTCCCCCTTCCTCTACTGCCTTCTTGCTTTTCCCAACTAAAGTTCTATGGAGGAGACAGTGAGGAAGGGCATCAAAGATGCTGAGGGTGTAACAGCCAAGGTCCAGGAGAAAACAGGTGGTGCACTCAGAAAGGGTTTAACTGACGAGAGTTTAACAGAGGGACTTCAAACCGGGAAGAGAAAGCAAGGGAACCAGCAAGGGATGATGAAGTAGCCCTGGGACTGGCAATCACAGGGAGTTGTCAGTGCAGAAGGGAACAGTGTCACCGGGGCCACTCAAAAGCTGAGTCATGAAAGATGAGTCACTAACAGGAGGTGTGTCCACAAAGACAACCCCACAGGCAGAAATGGGCCAGGCAGGGAGGGAGTCAGGAGATGAATACTTTGACTTTTTTCTTCTCCAGTCCTTCAGTGTCTCATGTTGGCTGAGCCCCATGAGAAATCAGAGCAAGGGAACCTGGGTGCTGTAGTCCTTACAGGTCAGCCTCTGGGGCAGAGAGCAGGGCTGAGAAGGAGGGGACCAAGGGGGTTGTTTGCAAACGAAGAACAGCGGAACTGGGAAATGAGTAGTGGAAAAGACAGGTGGGAGGTGTGAGATCAGGGTTTGAGTGGCTGTGGGTTGGAAGTCTTGGATCTATTTAGAATTGGAGTTGAGCACATGATCAGAGTACCAGGGCATGGTCAGGGTTTGGAGCACAGAAGGTTCTCACTGGTGGTGAGAGGTCAGTCACCTCTTCTTTGCCTAGGATCCTGACCCATATGCTCCTTGGCTCCCAGGGGAGCCCTTCCAGCCTTCCAACAGCAGCTGGCCCCCATGCCAGGATGGTTGTCACACTGAGGCCACTGCAGCTGCAAACCTCGCCTTCTCCTACTGCCAGCACTCCTCCCCAGGGGCGGCCATGCTCACTGTGGCCTCTGGGCTCATCTTCCTCTTCTGCATGGTGGGCAATGTCCTGGTTGGCTTCATTGTGCTCAAGAACCAACACATGAGCACTGTCACCAACAAGTTCATCCTCGACCTGGCCAGCAGCGACCTGCTGGTGGGCATCTCCTGCATTTCTACCACCCTTGTGGACAACCTCATCACTGGTGAGTGGGGGTGATGGAGGTAGTGGGAATATCCTCCCCTGAAATCATTGCTCACCTGGTCTCTGGGTCAGGATGCCATTGTCTCAGACTCTCAAGACAGTCTTGTGGCTAAGGGATTAGACTAGACTAATAGATACAGTGAATTAATCATTTTATTTTCCTAGGCATTGTGTGACTTACTCTTCCTGCATTACCTTAATTAATCCTCATAATAATCCAGTGAAGTATGCATTATTATTATCCCCATTTTATCGATGAGGAAACTGATGCTCAGAGTGATTAAAGGACAGGCCTGTAGTTACACAGCTAAGTGTCAAGTTCCACAATCCCACATCCGTGTTTCTGACAACTACACCATTCAGTTGTACTCTGCCAGGTAGCTCCCATGGGCAGAACCAGAACCAGTGAGAAGAAGTGGTAAAGAGGCAGATTATTTCTGAATAAGAACCTAAAAATCCACTTATATGAGCTGTTCACCAACAAAGACAGTTCTATCCTACAGGTAGTGAGCTCCCTGTCACTGGGAATGTCTAAGTAGAGACTGGCTGACCATTTAGCAGGGATTTGATAGAAGATTGCAAACAGAATTAGACCACCTGACCACTAACTTCCTGCCTATTCATCTGCAAATGTCTGAAAGATCCCTCTGTCATCCACCCTCCCCCATTTCAGAATAGACCCTGGGACTCAGGATTTCCAGAGCCATGGAGACCCCTAGAGGTTTGAGGCTGCAGGTGCTGACCTCATATCCCACTCAGAGTGACTTACCTGACTTGGGGCGAGTCACAGTCTTAGTTTCTATAGGTTCTAGAACCCAGGAAAGTGGAGCCAGGGCAGTCAGCCTCCTCAGGCAGACGGGCTGTGCCTGATGGGACCTTCACTACTCACTGCTGGTTCTTGCGGGGCTGCTGTTTCTTCCCAACACACCAACACATACACATATGTGTGCATGTGTGCGTACACACACACACACATCAGTCAACAATGATGCGGCAAGATCACTGGTTGGTTAAAGTGGTTTTGCCAATCACTTTTGCAAGCCTAAAATTTTTTAATTGTTTGAATAGACAACACATCTCCATGGTTCAATAGTCAAAATCTCCCAAAGGTATCCAGTGAAAAATCTCCCCTCCACTCTGCCCTCTCCTGGAAGACAATGTTGTCAATTTCTCTGTCTCTTTCCAAAAATATTTCATACATACAAGTACAAGCAAATTAAGGAAATACTAACTTTCAAGTCATTTCTGCACCTTTACCTTTACCTTTTCTCTGCTTAAAAATATACCGTGTATTGTAAATAGGATTAATTAAAATTAATTTACATGAAGTTATTCTATATTAATACATTAAATAATTTTTCATTCTTTTTACAATTGCTTAGAATTTCATTGTATGGATGTGTTACAATCTATTTAACCAGTCTCTTTTTTAAGCAAAAATTATCCAAGGTATCTTTTGCAAGTATCTTCTCCCATTTGGTTGGTTGCCTTTTTGTTTTGATGATAGTTTCTTTTGCTGTGCAGAAGTTTTTAGTTTGATGTAGTCCCATTTATTTATTTTTGCTTTTCCTCCCTTGCTTTGAGGTCAAATTTACAAAACCCCCTCTAAGAGTAAGGTCTATTAAGTTTAGTGCCTACGTTTCTTTCTTTCTTCTTTTTTTATCCTTACTGAGGATATTTTTCTATTTATCTCCAGATAGAGTGGGAAGGAGGGAGAGAGAGGAAAAGAGAGGGAGAGAGAGAAACATCGATGTGAGAGAGACACATCGACTGGTTGTCTCCCGACTGACCCTGATCAGGGCCAAGAATGACTGAGGTAGTGCCCTTGACTGGAATCAAATCCGTGACTCTTTGGTCCATGGGCCAACACTCTAACTGCTGAGCCAAACTGGCCAGGGCATGCTTACATTTCTTTTAAGTATTCTATTGTTTTAGGTCTTACATTAATGTTTTTGATCCATTTTCAGTTAATTTTTTGTAAATGGTTTCAGATAGCAGTCTAGTTTCATTCTTTTGCATGTGGCTTTCCAGTTTTCCCACCATTTATTGAAGAGGCCTTTCTTCTTCGGTGTATGTTTTTGGCTCCTTTGTCAAAAATTAGTTGTACATATATGTGTGAGTTTATTTCTGAGCTCTCAATTTTGTTCCATTGGTCTGTGTATCTGTTTTTCTGCCAATATCATATTGTTTTGATTATTGTAACTTTATAACTGTGTAAGTCAGGGAGTGTGATACCTCCACCTTTGGTCTTTTTCCTTGGGATTGCTTTGGCTATTTGGAGTCTTTTATGGTTCCATAGAAATTTGAAGGGTTTTTTTGTTTTATTTCTGTGAAAAATGCCATTGAAGGTTTTTTTTGTTTGTTTTATTTCTGTGAAAAATGCCATTGGGATTTTGATAGGGATTGCATTAAATCTGTATATTGCTTTAGGTAATATGGTCCATATTAACAGTGTTAATTCTTCTAATTCATAAACATAGAATATCTTTCCATTTCTTTGTGTTTCTTCAATTTTTTTCCAACAATATCTTATAGTCTTCAGTGTATAGGTCCTTCACTTCCTTTACATTTATTCCTAGATACTTTATGTGTTTTGTTGCAATTGTAAATGAGATTGTTTTCATTTCTTTACCTGATATTTCACTGTTAGTATATAGGGATGCAATGGATTTTTGTATATTGATTTTGTATCCTGCAACTTTACTATATTTGTTTATTGTTTCTAATAGTCTCTTGGTGGAATCTTTCGGATTCTATGTATAGGATCATGTCATCTGCAAATAGTGACAGTTTTACTTCTTCATCCCCAATTAGGATGCTTTTTATTTCTTCATCTTGCCTGAGGTCTATGGCTAGGACTTCAGTGCTACGATGAACCACAGTGATGAGAGTGCACGTCCTTGTTGTGTTTCTGATCTTAGAGGACAAGCTTTCAGTTTTCACCATTGAGTGTGACATTAGCTGAGGGTTTGTCATATGTGGCCTTCATCCTGTTGAGGTATTTTCCTTCTATACCTATTTTGAGTGTTTTAATCATAAATGGATGTTGTATCTTGTCAAATGCTTTTTCTGCATCTATTGATAGGATTATGTGATTTTTATCTTTTATTTTGCTAATGTGGTAATCACATTGATTGATTTGTATATACTGAATCATGCTTGCATCCTGGAATGAACCCCACTTGAGCATGATGTATTATCCTTTTAATGTATTATTATATTTAATTTGCTAGTGTTTTGTTTAGGATTTTTGTATCTATGTTCATCAGAGATATCAGCCTGTAATTTGTGTGTGTGTGTGTGTGTGTTGTCCTTACCTGGTTTTGGTATCAGGGTAATGTTGGCCTCATAAAATGAGTTAATAAGTATTCCCTCTTATTCCTCTTTTTGGAAGAAGTTGAGAAGGAAAGGTATTAAATCTTCTTTGAATGTTTGGTAGAATTCACCAGTGAAGCCAACTGGTCCTGGACTTTTGTATTTTGGAGCGTTTTTGCTGACTGCTTTAATGTCCTTAGTAGTGAAAGATTTATTTCAGTTTTTAAGTTCTTCATGGTTCAGTCTAGGAGGGTTATATATTTCTAAGAATTTATCCATTTCTTCTAGGTTATCAAGTTTGGTGGCTTATAGCCTTTCATAATATTCTTGTATAATCCTTTGTATTTCTGTAGGTTCCATTGAAACCTCTCTTTCATTTCTGAGATTTTTCTTGTTTCTTGAGGTATAACTGTAATGCTAAAACTTCTCTCTTAGTACTGCTTTTGCTGCATCCCCAAAATTGTGGTATGCAGTGTTGTCATTTTCATTTGTCTCTATGTATCTTTTTAACTTTTCTTTATTTCTTTTTTAATCCAATAGTTATTCAGTAGCACGTTTAATCTCCACATAGTTGTGGTTTTTCCAGCATTCTTCTTGTAGCTAATTTCCAGTTTCATACTGTTGTGGTCAGAAAATATGCTTGGTATGATTTCAATCTTTTAAAATTTATTTAGATTATTTTTGTGTCTCAACATATGGTCTATCCTCGAGAATGTTCTGTGTACACTTGAGAAGAATGTTTAGGATGGGACAAAAGTAGGTTTACAGTTGTGAGTTCATGAAACACAGAATTTATACTTGTATTATTATTTATTAATTATTGTATTATTTTCCATACAAACAACAGTTAGCCTGCTTTTGCCCCACCCTGTATATTCTGTCATTTCAGGATAGAAAGGTCTGTAAATATTGATTAAGTCCATGTGTCATTTAAGACTAATATTTCCTTAATGACTTTTTGTCTGGATGATCTATCCATTACCATCAATGGGGTATTCAGGTCTCCTACAAAAATTGTATTTTTTAAAATATGTTTTTATTGCTTTTTCAGAGAGAAGAGGAAGAGAGAATGAGAGAGATAGAAACTTCGATGTGAGAGGAAAACATCCATTGGCTGCCTCCTGCACGCCCCCTACTGGGAATCAAGCCCACAACTCAGGCATGTGCCCTGACCAGGAATCAGACCAGAACCTCTCAGTCCATGGGATGACACCCAGTCCAGTGAGCCACACCAGCTGGGTAACAATACTTTTGTCAGTTTGTCCCTTTAGGTCTGTAATTGCTTTATATATTTTGGTTCTCCCAGGTTAGGTGCATACAAGGGTTAGCAAAAATAGGTTTATAGTTGTGAGTATAACTTGTACTCACAACTGTAAGTATATTCTTGTATTATTATTTAATATAATTGTATTATTTTCCATATAAACAATTGTAAACCTACTTTTGCTCACCCCTGTATATATTGCCGTGTTATGTCTTATTGATGAATTGTCCCCTTTATCATTATAAGATGTCCATCTTTGTCTCTTGTTACCTTTTTTATCTTAAAATCTATTTTGTCTCATATAAGTACAACTACACCCACTTTTTTCTGGACCTTTTGCTTGGCGTATCATCTTTCACCCCTTCACTGTGAGCCTATGTTTGTCTCTGTAGCTGAGATGGGTCTCCTGAAGGTAACTCGTAGTTGGGTCTTGTTTTTAAATTCATCTCGCTACTCTGTGCCTTTTGATTGGTGACTTCCGTCCATTTTAGGGTGACTATTGATGTATCAGGATTTATGAAGCCATGTTATCTTTGTTTTTCGGTTGTTCTGTATGTCCATTGTTTCTTTTTGTGTGTGTTTCTGACTGCTGTTTTAGCTTGGTAGTTTTCTATAATTTTTTTTTTCTGTTTCTTCTTTTTTATGTTATGTGTCTCAGCTCTATATAGTCTTTTTCTGTGGTTACCATTAGGTTTATGTAAAAAAAATTTTCATACATATAATAGTCCCTTTTTCCCTGATTGCATCTTATCTTCATTCGCCTGAGCAAGTTCAGTCTTTTCCCTCTCCACTTTTACATTTTGGTGTCCAAACCACCCTTTCATGCTGTGTTCATTTCCAAATTGCAGAGGTGTGTCCTTTTTTAAAAATGATTTTTTCCCCTTTAACCCTCGTTATAATTGTTTCATGTCCTATTCTGAAACAGAGTTGCAATTTCCTCTTCTTGTTTAGGTACTGTTTTGCTTTTAACAATCCAGCAGGTTAAGTAGAGGTCTTTCTTGTGTTTTCCACTAGATGCTGCACACGGTTTTGTTTTTTTCTTTCCTGCACTATTGGCAGCTCCAGGATCTTGGTGGGGCAGTGTTGCCTCAGTTGTGGGAAATGCCCCATATTCTCCAACGAGGTGGGCATCCCTTTTGTGTTTGGGTGGCCTCAGTCTCAGGGATCACCCTGAGCTCTGGGACTGTGAGTTCTTGATTCTGCCTCTGTAACCAGAAGCTGCCAGCCACGCTGTGCTATTCCAGGTATCTCTGGGTTCTACCACAATGGGTGGGGGTGCAGTGCGCAGAGGGAGGGGTTCAGAAGTCTGCAGCTTTGCCTACCTACTAGTAATGGTGACCACTAGTCTGCTGCCGCCACAATGCTGTGCCGTGTCTCCGTCCAAGTTTAGCCACAATTAACACTGGCTTTTCAGGCAGAAATGTTGCTTCTGGCCTTCCAGGATGCTGAGTGTGAGCTGTAACCCAGCTCCTCGCTCCCTACCATGTCAGCTGGGGCATGGTGGGAGCCAGACTGCATCTGTGGCCTCCACTGCTGTCCTTCCCCTCCTTGTTCTGATACGTCCACCTTCAGATGTCTCGATGCGTGGATCTCTCAGACATCTTTCTGTGTTGTGCAAGGAAGCCTCTGCTGAATTATAGTTATCTGACTCGTTGTAACTTTAAGAGGAGAAGTCAAGGGGTATCCTCACTCTGCCACCATGCTGAGTCCGTCCTGCCCTTTCCAGAATCTAATGTCTTCATCTTATCTTGTTGTGCCTCTGCTTTTATCAAGCACAGTCTTTTGTGACCCAATGATGTGGGCAGCTGGGGTGATAGAACTGGGTTCCTGTCTCTGCAAGGCCACTCACTAGCTGGGTAACTGGGGGAAGCCCCTCCCCTTCACTGGTCTTCATGCTGTTATCACTGTTAATGATATGTGAACGTGCAACCTCTTCCAGCAGCGTTTGCAAGAGTCTTGTTTCTTATCTCCTCCGGGAAACCTTTCTGGTCTGCCCCAGGATTCTCCTCCATCCACAAACTGATATTTTACTATAGCTGGTACACACGCTGTAAGAATTAGTTGTTCTCTGGCAATATCTTAAGTGTGCGATGCTATGAAACCAGTAGTTCAAAGGCATACAGATAGAGACAACATGGCTTGAGACAGGCCATGAGACAGGTAGAAGGTGCTGCCCGGCAGGGGAGAGGGTGGCAGGCAGGAGGGCATGTCACAGTTTGGTGAAGCAGAAAGAGCACTTGGCTGGCAATCAGCTCTAGACCTGTGTTCCAGTGGCAGGTTTAGTGCCTAAATTGCCCTGTGACTTTCCCAGATTAATTATATTAGAGTCTTTGGCCAGGAGAACTCGGCACAGGTATTTCTTAAAATTCTTCAGGAGATTTTAATGCACAGTGAGGGTTTATAGCTGCTGGTTTATATGGCTTAATGGAACAAGACAAATCTGGTTTCCAGGCTGGTCCTTGCTACCTGCTAGCTATGTGACCTTGGGCTGGTTGCTTGACACCTCTGAATCCCAGTTTCCTCAACGTAAATTAAGGGTGTAACAATGATCACAGCTGAGATGTTCAACTGAGGAAATGGTACAGACTCGTCCTAATATTGGAGGCACTGTTGGAAGGACACTGTAGGGACAGCCTGTTGTGTGGGTTCCCAAGGTGTTCTGGAGAATCCACAAATAGCTAAAAATTGTTTTCTTTGACACACCTACTTAAGCGGCCTGCTCTAGGGCAGAATGCACAGACTGCTCTGCGAGCCAGCCAGTCGGGTTACCCCTTGGTGCCTCCTCCTCGCCCTCCTGTAAATCCCCCTTTCCCTTGTTCCTGGCAGAGACCAGGAGCTGACACCTCACAAGTGAGAAATCCATCTGATTGCAAACTAACCCAATTAACCTCAGAGATGTTCTGTGACACTAGGGTACGATGATGGATAAAGTGCTCGCACCTGCCGGCCCTTAGACAGGGTGCACTCCCCTGGGCATGACTGGGCCCCACCTAGCCCTCTGCCTCTCCTTTCTCCCTGCTGCAGAGTCCCTCGCCTTGCGCACCCTTTCCACAAGAAGCTGACCCTGTGGAAGGCGCTCGTCACCCTCGTAGTCATCCGGGCCCTGGCCCTGCTCGTCACGTGCCCTCAGCTGTCACAGTGACTGTCACACTCCACTTCATGATGGACGCCCACAGTCGCTCCTACCTGCTCTCTCGTGCTGGGAGGCCCGGCCTGAGGAAGGCGTGGGCCAGGTCTACACCGCCCTGCTCTTCTCGAAACCTGCCTGGCACTGCGGAGGCTCCTCGTGGTCATGAACGCCTGCATCACCCACATGCTTGTCGAGGCCTCCACCGCAGCGAAGCAGGTGAGAAGGCAGCTGCTCAGGGCTGATGGGGCCCTAGCGCAAGGCCAGGGTGGAGCCCAGGCTGGTCGTGGTGGACTCTTCACACTGTCTGGCTGCCGCTCTGTGCGCTTTGACTATGGGCAGCTCAGTGAGCCGCAGCTCACCTGTCTACTCCTTCCCCTCGCCCGCTGGCTGGCCCTCTGCACCGCAGCACCAACCCCATACTCTGTGGTTGCTTCAACGAGAACTTCCATGGCGGCTTGCAAGCTGCCTCTATGCCCAGCTCTGCCCACCCACCACAGTAGGGGAACCACAAAAAGGCCTACTCAGAGCAGTCCTGAGGGTTCCTGCACACTGGGCCTTGGTGGAGGGGCGGCCCAGCAACTCCAGCCTACCCTCAGTCAGGGCCCGGCAGCAGGAGCCCCAAGCCTGGCTGCCTCCTGCTGCCCAAAGGCCAAGCGACTCACCATGGCGTGGCCTGGGATGGCGCTGGCAGCTCCCATCTGCCCCTCACCATGCCAGCCTGGGGTATTTGAGTGGTATAGGGAGGGCAGATCCTGAATCTGACGGCCAGGACTGGACGTGCGAGACGGATGTGATAGCAGCCTGGCTTTGAAGAGGTGCCCCCCTCTCAAATACAAGGCAGTGGCAGCTGCCAGTGATATCTTCTCTGCCCCCCACCCCCCAGAGAGAGGCAAAGGAGAGCAAGCGAAGAGGAGTTAAGTTTCCCCCAAACCTTTCTGTGTGGTAGACGCCACACACATCATCTCGTTGCATCCTCACAACACTTTGGGCATAGGCTTTCCCATCTCCCCTCTACAGAGGAGAAACTGAGGCCGGAGGGCCCAGGCTCAGCTGGAACTGTCACAGGAGCCTGGCTGCTCCAGGGCATGCCTCTGCGTTACCATCTCCAGCTGTCTCCAGAAGGGCCCCTTCAGGCAGAGCATGGTGCAATGGGTATAATTAGGCTGCTGCAAAGAAGCAGAAAGCAAAGCTATCTGTACTTTTTGATGCTTAGTTCATGTCCTGGAGTCCCTCATGTGTTACCAAAGACACTCCCCTGACTCCTTCTGAGGAGAACGTGGTACCCCTCCTGCCAGCTCTGTGTAGGTGTCTTGCTGGTGTCCAGGGCCATTCACTTCTTTCTCCCCAAAGTTCTACAACAGGACTTCGTGCCTGAGCGGCTGTGGAACATGTCCCGAAGGGCCTGCGTCAGTACCTGCAGGCACTCGGGGTTTCATCCTCTGGGTCTGAGCCCTCTGGGGGTAGGAATGGGTGGGGGACTCTGTCTTCCCTCCTCTCCTCATAGGGGAGCCACCACCATCACCCAGGCCCGGGCAAGAACTTACGGTGCGACAGGCAGCTGCTACAAGGCGATGTGGAGGTGTCGGTTTGTTTATTCACGGACAGGAGGAAGGGAAGGCACAGTACCCCTTTCTGGCTTGGCAAGCACACCTGCTCACTGAGGCTGCGAGCACAAAGCTGTCCGAAGGCCTTCCCCCCGGTCCCATCTGGGAATGGTCAGAAGTTGGCAGGCCACAGCTGGTGTGCCCTTTGGGGCCTCCTGGAGAACGAACACTAAATCCCTCCCCAACATGGATAACTGGTGCCCTAAAAAAGGCTGGGGAGCAGGAGGCCCCCTTGTATCCTCTAACTCTCACCCAGCATGCTTGTGTCACTTTGGAGAAATGAGGCTTCTTTCTAGGAAATAGGAGAAAATGGGGTGGCCTCGGCGATCCTCGCATGACCCCAGTAACCCACAGTTCACTGGACACGTCTCCTCATTTCTGTAGAGACCACAGTGTTGCAGGAATTTTAGGGAATAAAAAAGAAACATTTTGCCTGGCCGGTGTGGCTCAGTGTTTGAGCAACGACCCACGCACCAAGTTATCGGTTCGATTCCCAGTCAGGGCCGATGACCAGGTTGTGGGCCCGATCCACGGTGGGGGGCATGCAGGAGGCGGCCAAGTGATGTTCTCTCTCATAATGTTTCTCTCTCTCTCCCTCTAAAATAAATAAAGAAAAAAAATTAAAAAAAGAAAAGAAACATTTCCAGGGCAGAGAATTGGACTCTGAGGCTTCTATTGTTTTCTTAATCTACACACAATGACTTAACCTTGTTTATGCCAAATGTAGGAGCAGAAGAAAATTCCTAAATAATTGTGTAATCTCTTCTCAAGCAAGTCCCCAGACACTGAGTCGTTTGATTTAAACAAATGAAGTAGAAGGAGATGTTTTTGCCATTTCACAAAGTAACCGAGGCTCAAAGCGGCCAAGGACACAGGTCACCGAGGGGCAGAGTTTGGATCACAATCTGTCTTCTGGTGGCTTCTCCCCACGCTGCATCCTGCCTCTCAAGGAGGGTGGACTGGGGAAAGTGGGGAGGGACCTGGAAATTCCCCCACAGGCCTTCTGCCTCCCGGTGAACCAGATGCTTGTGGAACCAGCATCCCCACCCTCGAGCTCTTGGCCAGGAAAATGAATCTATTGTGTTGACTCTTTTAATATCCGGTCTGAACTGCTCTGTGTACAATAACTCTAAACCCATGTGTCGAGCAGGGTGCCAAGATTCTGAGGTCCTCACAACCCGACCCGGTCCAGATGTCTGGGGGTGATGGATGAGGGTCTCAGGAGAGGAGGTACCATCCTGTCCCTCACATGTATGGATGGGCCCCCTTTTTGGCGCTGTATCAGTGTTATGTGTCACATAGGCCAGAGAGCTCCCGGCTACTTATTGTGAAGAACTCTGACTCCAGTTCTAAAAATAGGCCAGAGGAAGGGTCATCTCAAACCCAAATGCCTGTCTGGTGGGTGGGATCTGTTCAGAGACACTGTCTGGTCACTCTTGTGGAGCGTGTTTCTCCTTTAGCATGGCCTTCCTACCACAGGCTCACAGCCTCTACATGGGGGGAGACCAGGACACTCACCCACGCCAACCTTTCCATCAAGGCCCCTTTGTTTCATTGCCCCCCAAAGATGCCATGCTTTGAAAGATAGCACCTGCCAAGAAAACTGCACTAGGTCATAACTGATACATTTTGCTGTTATTTTTTATTTTTATTTTTTTAAATCAAAGGCTATGCCTGCCCATTTAGAGATTTGATCTCAATAGCAACAGGCATGACTTGGTGCCTTTATAAGGGGGTGAGGCCTTGTGGATACCTTTGGAATGTTTGTGTTTTTGTGTGTATGTTGTAAAATGCACACAACATAAAATTTACCATCGTAATGATTTTGAAGTGTACAGTTCAGGGGCATTAAATGCCTTCACATTGTTGTGGAACCATCACCACTGTTTCCATCCCCAACTGAAACTCTGTACCCATTCAACAACTCCCCATTCCTCCCAGCCCCTGGCAACCACCACTTTACTTTCTGTCTCTAAGAATCTGACCACTCTAGGCACCACGTACAAAAGGAGCCATATAGTATTTGTCCTTTAGGACTGACCTCTTTCACTTAGCATATGTCTTCAAGGTTCATCCATGCTGAAGCATGTAACATTACTTTGCTCTTTTTTTTTTTATCCTCACCCAAGGACATTTTTCCATACTTTGTTCAGATAGAGTAGGAGGGGGAGAGAGGAAGAGAGAGACAGAAACATCAACGTGAAAGGGACACATCAAGTGGCTGCCACCTGCACAACCAACCAGGGCCGGGGACAAACTGCAACCGAGGTACATGCCCTTACTTACCGGGAACCGAACCCGGGTCTCTCGGGACCGCAGGCTGATGCTCTAACTGCTGAGCCAAACTGGCCAGGACACTTTGCTCTTTTTTAAAAAAAATTTTTTTTCTTTATTGATTTTGGAGAGAGGAAAAGAGAGAGAGAAAGAGAAACATCAATGAGAGAGAACATCGACTGGCCACCTCCTGCATGCCCTCCACTGAGGATTGGGCCCTGAGCATGTGCCCTGACCAGGAATCGAACGGGTGACCTCCTGGTGCATGCCACGCTCAACCACTGAGCCACATCGGCTGGGCTACTCTGCTCTTTTTAAGGCTGAGTATATTCCATTGAAGATGCATATTCCACATTTTGTTTTTCCACTTGTAGTAGGCTGTTAGACAGGCATGAACACAGCAGGAACAATGGGCCAGGCGCAGAGGGTCACTGGAGCATAGAGCCCCGGGTGCTTAGCAACAGGCAAAAACTACAAGCCCTTGCACAACCACTCCCTTAAGCATTAGTCCCTGGTGATAACGTCTAGGCCTCAGCTGTGTTTCAGCTCCAGGCCCAGAAAATCAGCAAAGCTAGGCAGAGCAGGAGCGACGTCATGACTGCCATCAGGACCAGCTGCAATGGCTGATGACTCCCTGCCTGTGGCTGACCGGTCAATGGGACCATGACACTGAGGAAACACCAGGAACACTGATAAATACTCTCTTGAGGCCTCAGATAAAAGCCCTCAGGATGGAGGACCCAGCACTCAGGCTGTCGCTATGGAGCACACACCCTTCTTTCTCTCTCTGCACCCCCACCCCCCTCCCAGCACACCAAAACCTCTCCTCCCTTTCCTCCCTCAAAGCATCTCTCTCTCTCTCTCTCTCGCTCTCTCTTCTCCCTCCTCCCTCCTCCTTCTACCCCCCCCTCTCTCCCCTAAGCTCCAAAGGCCCTTCTTTTGCTGTAACTTCTTTCCTGAGCCCATTTCTTCTCAGCTCACTTCTACCTCTGTGACTTTCTAAATAAACTTTCTCATATAATTTGAGTCTTGGCTCTGAATTCTTCCCTTAGCCAGGACTCAAGAACTGAGGTTGCTGAACCGAGGCTAACGCCTGGCGCCATTTTTTCGGCCACTAACACACTCATCCGTCAA